TCAAGGTGGTCAAATATAAACGCTGTCGGCCAACATCGGTTAACAACATATATGCCACATTGAGATTCGATCTCGGGTCGCTTGAAGCTCATGTTATTGCGTTGATCACTGAGCTATCGTCTGTACACTGTTAAAACTGATGTCTTATGCTCTTGTAAAGCCTCATTGATGTAGCCTAAATGTTTTTATTGCAATGTTTTATGTTTTCATTATTTATTCAATTTCATTTCAGTAGCCTAATTTCAGTATTGTGATTATGAATTATTTTAACTACGTTTCACTTGTTGAATTCATCTGCTAACGTTACCAGCTTTCAATCGCTCTGAATGAGCCGCAGATCACGCATTAGAGAGAATAAACGAACACTTTTCAGAGTCTATGATTGTAGCGCCTCTTAGCGGTAAAAGGCAGCAAATACACCCCACATTTTACCGCCGCGGTGGAACGGCTGATGTGGGCATTGTCATGGCTTGCCTCAACATTTGCGTTTGAATAGCGCGCGTCCGTGGGCGTGTCAGATTAACGCGTAATGAAGTGTAATGAGCTGGGGAAAAAAATACTGGCACTCTCTTTTCATACAGATTACATAAACTGAGAATATTTGTTTTTTATATAAATTACTTCATTGAAAAGAAGAGAATTCAAGCTTCATAAAGAAAAATCTCTCGTGCCTGTATGACAAGTATTTGCAAAGTTAGAGTTAATCTTAGGACGCGTTTCAGAATGGACTGCACTGACAGAGAGAACGCAGAACGCGCATCATGTTTATTTTTCTTTATTTGGCGAAAAGCACAACACTTTGTTTTTATTGTGAGGTTCCACAAAAAAAATACAAACTTAACAGGATCTAATGATGTATAACACTTATATGTAAGATCAGAATCAACAAAGTAATTTGAGTCTCTTTTGCACTGATAAGGAAAAAAGTGAGCTGGTATCGCCGGCGAGACCGCCGACCCCAGAGAGTTAAAGGTGCCCTAGAATGTTTTTTTTTATTTATTTTATAATGTTTACTGGGTTACCCTTATAATGTTAGTATGTTTTTTAGATAAAAAATAATCATAATTTAGAAATAAATGGCATTTTTCCTAGCCTGCTTTTAGCCTCTGATTTGAACACTCTGTTTGAAGGGGCGTGTCTGCTGTGGGATTCAGTGTAACCGGCCACTGCTGTGATTGGCTGACATGCTTGCAAATGAAATAGCTAGTACGCATTACATGTGAAACTCTCTCCCGAATACTTTTACTACTGCTATTATACGTTTTTACTATAACAGCTATCGAGATTAACGAATCGTGAGATGTTTTTAAAGTATTTAGATCTATTCCCATCACATAAAATGTTGCCGTGATGAGCATTGAGCAGATGACAGTGTGTTGATCGCGAGAATGAAGATCTTATCATTGCAAAGCAGTTTCTGCACTCTCTCTAATGCTTTCCCCAATGCAAACACGATGATGTAAATACAGTAAGAGCTTCGTTGTGCAGTAACGTGCGTCATTGATTTCATAACGAGTTTGGCAAGTGTCCAGATAAACTCGCGCTGTGTGGAAAGATTGTTCTTTGATCGCTTTCTGTATCTAATTTGTTCACAATTTAAATACGATTATTTTCATCCTACTAAAAGAAACGATGTGAAGCTGATATTTTAGTCACTGGCTTGACTTACTGATGCATAAACAGTATTGAACGATTTTGAGAGAAAGATTACCTGTCTGAACTTGAACAATTACTCATCTGAAAGTGTTGCTTGGTAGCTCGATCCGAGGCCAGCTCTGTATTGGTCCAAGTTGAGGAAACACTCGGTGAAATGTTTGGAAATTTCCAGAGAAAATAAAATTAACCCATTGTTTCTTCAGAGGCTCAGATGAAGGAACTAAAAAATACTTTTGTGTTCATGTGTACATCCACACTGAGCAACTGCCATGCTTCGGCTGCGCAGTTCCGCCTGGCATTGAGGGCTGGCATTATGCAAATATTTGGAGGCGTACATATTAATGATCCCGACTATTGCGTCACAGTCGGTATTGTGTGGAGAACCGACCGTTTTTCAGGGGTGTTTTTCATAAACGTGAATTAAATGAGAACGCGAAAACAGTCCAGTTTGAGATTCACTCTATGTCTTGTCCATGCACTGAATTCTTGTTATTTGACTATACCAAGGTAAATTAAATTTTGAATTATAGGTCACCTTTAAAAAAATTTACCCATATGGCTCGTTTTGTGGTCCAGGGTCACAAATATCATTGAAATCACTTTCAGAACGATTTTTTTTTCCCAACTGGTGAATGTAAAAACCTTGACAGCCAATTAGAATCCATCCTGCTTTAAAGAGCTCAAGCATTTCAAGGTGCAGCAAGCGATTTCTGGTAAACGCTGTTGATATTTGATATCTCCAAAACAAACATACCCCCCTACCCAAAAGGATCACACCCGTCTATAAGTGGTGTCACTACCACCATCAATAAGTGAAAGCAATTTGTGTTCATATGATAATTCATGTCAAATGTCTAATTGTTATTTAGCTCGTCTACTCCTCCGTCATCTCTTCCATCCAAAAAAACAAAGAGCTTTTAATGAACAGCTCCCTACATAACTCGAGAGGCCAAGTAACTAATATACTACAAATGTGACAAGATTAAGGGGTTATAGTGATCACTAAAATCGGAACCAAAAGACAAACCATACATTAGGAGTATGTTCACTCTTCAGACACACTTTGGGAGCAGATGCTTGAAACGGGCGGTTGTGGAGGCTTAGATGTTCCAGGCTTATAATAATAATAATAATAATAATACAAATGAACAAACAAGCGAAGATGGCATATGAGTATATTCAGACTAGGCTTGCTACGATAGTCGGTGTTGACGATGTTACCGGTGTTCAGAAGCAACACCGGTTACATCACCTGCCCACCACGGCACCGCCCCTCACCGTCGATTTTTAAAAATAAAATAATTTAGTTCAGTTAGAAAACAGACACCACAATTAAAAACTGAACGTGTCTGCTTAATAAATCGTGAGCCAAACGAGAGTCGCAGCACAGATCAGCAACGAGTCCGATTTTATTTATCACGAGAGTGAGGAGCTGACTAACAAGACGATGGCGGAATATTTGGTGTCAAAGCAAAATGTAAAATTGCCTATTTAAGCGAATTTGCTATTATACAGCTTTGTGGTTGTGTTTTTCATTAAGAACAATAGGCTAATTAATAGGGCCGGGACTTTAATGCGTTAATTAAGATTAATTAATTACAGACTTTAACGCGTTAATTTACACAAAAAAAATTTTTTATCGCACTTATTTTTGCACCGCGGAACGTTTCTCACTGGATGAGTTTCGGCGGACCGATTAAACTGGAGCACCAACTAGCGTTCATGATGAAGAAGCTGACGAGATCGCTTGCTTCATAGATCGCCTAGATCGCTTTGGTTGGCCCCGTGGATGGGAAATTTTGTTATAAAAAACGAACGGATGGAAGCGTCGATAAGAGCATCGTTGTGTGCAAGTTATGCAACAAGGAATTCGCTATTGCTATTAGTGTAGCTATTGCTACACTTAATGGCAAAAATTGCACTGGTCTGCTGGACTTGGTTGAACAAAAATAAACAATATGTTGTTGATTAAGCTTATGTATTGTCATTATTCAATGGTATACTAAAAATCCATGTGAAAAAAATTACTTCCTGTTCTCAGGTCAAATATTTATGCAATTAAAATGCGATTAATTTCGATTAATTAATTACAAAGCCTCTAATTAATTAGATTAATTTTTTTAATCGAGTCCCGGCCCTACTAATTAACTCACCATTCAAGCAATCCGCCGTCGAATTTGCGCTAATTTAAAAGCGAAAATAAAATGCGCACGGGCATTCATAACAGTGTGTGTCCATGGGCGCAGAGCTTAAAGTCTTAAAGTCTGTCCAGCACAGGAAACTTCTCCGATATTAATGCAGGTCCTATCTCTTGCCTGATCGTAACCCTTCTTTTTAAAGTTATATTTCCCCTGGACTTTTCCTCTTTTGTATTTCTGCTAATATCTGTCTTGTACACCGAGCTCTCCTCCTCCATCATAAGTGTATACGACCATTACTGCTGATTGGCTAAAAGTGTGTTTTGGTGCTCGGTCTGATGCACTTATCAACAGCATTTTTCAAAAATCGCTTACTGCATCTTTAAAGCGGCAAACGACGAAACTGCAGCATGCGATTAAGTGTGGACACTATTATCCTTATAGTTATCTTTAAAGTTATGGTTCTTGGTGTGAAGGGCCTTAAGGCTGGAATACACTACACAACTTTTGACCAGTTTTGTTTGTTTTGCAGTCAAGCCGAGGCAATGTGATTTGCCGAAAGTCAGAGCCAGACTTTTGAGTCGAAGTTGACACATTTCAGAGAAAACTGCATAGTGTAATGGGCAAAGACTCGGATGACGTAAAACATTTTGAGACAATTTTAGAACACATATTGTTTCCATTTGTAATGCGTCTACTAGCAAAGAGGTTTGCTGTGTCCGGAACAACTTAAAAGTCTGGTAGTGTGTGATCTTCAGTCGTTTATGATGTGATGTATGATGCCTAGTGTTTTAAAATCTGTTCAAGTTGTGTGCTCTTTTCAAATAACAAAGACTGGGAAACATCTCACACGTAGTCAGGACAGCATCGCAAGCAGAGAAACGGTATTTTGGGGGTTCCAAGCAGAGCATAACAGCATAACATAAGATCACCACAGCTTGTTACTTGCCCCCTGACTATGAAACGTAATTGCTATCGAAGGCATGAGTAATTAAAATCTTAATTATATTGCGCTCTTGGGTAGCTGCACAATGTTTCTAGAGAGCTTGAATTGTGGATATCAGCTGTTAGATTTATATATAGTTTCCAGTAATACTGAGGTAGATGATCATAAAAAACTGTGAAAAGCTGAACTAAAAACACACAACTGTGTAAAAAAAAATATTGAAACTTGAAAACAAACATGGACCGCTTGTGCTAACAAACCTCATCTATCCTCTGTTCAATCTTCATTTCTCCGTGTTCCTGTATAGACCTGTGGGAAACAACAACAGACGGCTTTATCACAGCCACACAGATACACAAACATTCACACTTGCACAGCAGAGCTTACTGAAGCACACAATACTCTCCCTCAGCTCAGTCTGGACACATGATGAAGACGCTCAGTCAACAGCGCCACATGCCTGAAGTTGATCTATAATAAAGCTTGTTTTCAATCAATCTCCCTCTTTGGTTTCAAGTCACGGCCCAGTGAACAGGTCTAATCTCTGTTTCTGATTAACGCACAGTGCAGTGGTCCTTCACAGGGGGCTTGAGATACGTGGGCTTTGCAATACTTAAAGACAAGGGCCGCTCAGTATCGATGCCTAACGGAAAGTGACAGTTTCAAACACCAGTCACCAACAATATACTACATATCAATACATACGAAGATAAGATAAGAAGAAAGAAAAGAAAGAACAGGATTTGATTTGATTCTTCTTGAAATGATTTGAATGTGGAACGTGGGTGTTGCATTAAATATCATTGGTCTAAATCCCTGGAAACTAATATTTTAAAAGTCCCCCTGTAGTGAAAATCCAGCTTTTAATGTCGTTTATATGTCTATGTGGTGTAATATGTAATATGCTTTGTAATATACAAACCATGTGCAAATTTCGTAAGTCAATCAACACCATTGCTGAGTATTTTCACCTTAAAACTGCACCAAAGGTCTCAAAAACGTGGTTTGAAATCGCTGGTGTTTCTGACATCACAAACTACCTTGTAACCAATCACATCAACGTGTGATCATCAACGAGTGGATCTCTGAGGTGGTGTGAGTGAGTGGAGGCGGGGCTAATTTGCATATTCATAGAACCGTGTTTACTAAATGAAGCAAGGGTGTAGAGTTACATTCAAGCTATTTTAAGGCATGAAAAAAATAATCAAGGAAAAAACATTTAAATATGTCATTTTTGTGACCAAAGATGAGTTTTAAGGAATAAAATGATTGACTACAGGGGGACTTTAAGGGTCAATATTGATTTAATTTTGACTGTTTACATATTTTAACATTTTTAAACCTATTCTGCAGAATACTTTCCAGCACAATCAATCCATTGCAACTAAGGGTGTCGCAATATATATCAGTATTGACGATAACCAGGATATTTTTTATATCGTGTTTATACAACACATGCAATATCATAAATAATCTAACATCAGTCTGGTTGACACTGATGTTGTCTGGTTGACATAGTAGGTGGTGCTGCTATTGCGCCTTGGCGCTTGTTGCCAGCCATCACAAAATAGAAAAAAGACGACACAGAGTGTACCTATCACAAAAAATCATGTCGAAGGAATTGACAGACAAAAGCGTAACACTCTAGCTGTGCCTGAAAAAAGATATCCCACCAGTGTGGGATTTTTTGGGATTCTGTAATAAAGACACCCCATTGACACATAAGTATGCAGGAAGTGCATCTGTGCACACCGACTGGCATATCTGACATCTACTAGTTTTTCCAACATTTACAGAACAGATCAATTTTTTTAGCAGCAAACTGAGCTTGCAAATACAAGAAAAACAAAATATATCATAATTACCTCATATTTGTGTAGGTTCCCCAGACAGCTAAAAGAAGAAGACATGAGACATCAGTACCAAACCTATAACATTGATTCTCAATACACAGATACACAGTTTTACATTCATATCCATTACAACATTGTTAATAAATACACAGTCAAGCTGTTAAGGCCGGGACACACCAAGTCGACGGTCGGCCAATGTCAGGGCGTTTTTAAGAGTTGGTCGGCGTTTTTGGGAAAGAACTCTGATTGGCTGTTCAGTTTAGAGAACGAGTCAGTACACGAGAAATGCAAAAGTGATGAAAGCGATCAAAGAAATCAAGAAGTCATCTTACCTGAGCATTCAAATGCACTAATATTTTTACTTTAATATTTTCATAATAACATGAGTCAACTGGAATGAAGAAAGTGATCAGTGTGATTGATATTCAAAATGGTATGTAGAAAATACACTATTGATACCTGTTGATGACAGATTTACTTACTCGCAGGTGCCGAACGCACATGCTGGTTGATAGTCGCCTTTAGTCCTTTTGGTGTGTTCAAGTACAGCTTTTTGGCCGAGACGCAACCGACGAGAGGCTGACATGCTCTCGTCGCCTTGAGTTTTTTTGACATCGGCTTGGTGTGTCCCTGGCTTTAGACCTTTAAGCAGGGGCTAATAAGTCTTTTCAGTTGAAAAGTGAAGAGATATGTACAGTTCATGTCCAATATTTATAGCAGAGAGTACATGCAAGTGAAAATGTTTGTTTAAAGGGTCATGAACTCCCCTATTTTAGCACAGTTTAGTTCTCAGCACAGTTTTGAAAAATGCTACAAAAACAAAAAACGGGCCGTGTTAAGCTGCAAAGTGGAGAGAGACAACACACTTTTGTTTTGCTCTCACAGAGTTAAAAGCATCAAAGGTCCCCCACAAATATGTGCTGCAATTCACCACTGCACAGATCAAAAGGAACAAATATATTAAACAAGGGTTTTGTAAGCTCACAATAAATTACACCCTATAATTCAAATGCACACATAAATGCACAGCCGCTTGCTTTTACGCTCTGCATCGATAATATATGAATGTAGCACTTTTAAAAAGTTTTTCAGCATTTATATGCCATTTGATCGGTTACATCAAGCTCTAACGATGTCACGCAGAAACTCTTACAAAACGAAAACAAACACTCGACACTTGAAATTCATGAAAGCATCTCTACTAATTATGATGATCTCACAGTTTGAAGCGTCTGTTATGGGAAAGCAACACATGTTGGCGTAAAAAATGAAGAGTCTCTCATAGGATAAGAACACACAGTCTAATGAATAAGTATGGACACGGATGAGTCGCTAATGTACTATAATGTGGCACAAGGAAGATTTTAAACCCAGAAGATGAAAATAGCTCAAAAGCTCAAAATTAAGCAGTTTTCTCCTGCAATTAATTAACTGATGCTAACATTGTCTTTTATAATGTGCAACACATACACACCTGTTAAAATCTCAAACATGTAGTTTAGTGCTTAATGGGCCTTTAAAGATGTAAAAAATAATAAAGGAGAGGCAGTTCTTAAGTCAAGTCGAAGGCAATACGAACAAACACAAGCACACAAATGATATAGCCTAATAAAAGTTAAACTTCTATTAACATGATATATGTAATAAATCACAATCAAGTACCTCTTCAAGATCGGGACGGGCAAAGACGGGCCGTTTTTGAGTGTTGGTTGGCTTAGTTTTTCAGTGTGTTCAGCACCGTTGGCTCTAGGCAATCAATAAACTATCTAATCAAAGTACACGCATGTAGAAAAAATTAATCTGAATTGGGTATGTAAGGTCTAACCTTCATAAATAAATCATTATTTTTATTACATTAATAATGTAAACATCTGCCCTTCCCTCATTCCTCTCTATAACATGCACACGGATATATATCGCAAAGACAAATTACTCACACCTGCCAATACACATCAAACAGCTGAGTAGAAATTGAGCAAGTGAAAATCACAACCATAAATATCAAACCATCCTCCCTGCACACTTGCTCCAGGCCATACGATAGAAGAGGAATCTAAGGCAAAAGGTGAGTGTAAACCGAAAACCTGTAATTATGCAAATCCCTCTGTTCCCAATCTGGCCAGTTCTTTCCCAGAGGCCTTGCTGCTGTCACCGCAAATTCCTGTGTGCAGCGTGATTTACGGCAGGCTGTTTTGTGCAAGGCCAGCTTGCTGTATGCCACCTGATGCCATGCCAATGCAAATATGAAAGGAGAAAAAATAATCTGAATCACACAATCTATTTGAGGGGGGCAGAACCAGAAGCCTGATAGAAAAAAAATGGGGACAATCGAGGAGGAGAATTGTGGTCAATTTATTCATCCTCATGTCGTGAATTTCTTCTGTGGCGCATAAAAGATGATATTTTGATGATATTACAATGGAAGTCAATGGTCACCAAAAGTGTTACCAATATTCTTCAGAATTTCTTCTTTTGTGTTCCTCAGAAGAAACTAATACTGGTTAGGAACGACATGACAGATTTTCAATTTTTGAGTGCCTCATCCCTTTAAAGTGGAAATGAAGCAGTCAAGTCTACATTATTTAGTAAACAGATTTCCACTCTAACCAAAATAATATATCAAACATGCTAAATGTAACCACAGAAAAATATGTTTTGTTGTGGCTTTTGTAGCAAGGGCGCTGCCATCTTGCAATACGACAACCTGTGACGTCACAGGCTTGGTTGTCTTGCCTGAGTTCAACAGATACAACAATAGAGAGACAGTTAAAGACAGACAGTGGAGGACAGACAGTGAAAGATGGAAACTGGAAAGCCACAGGGCATCAGAAGACAAAAGGGATTGCCACTATTGCATTGCTCCTGCATGTAAAAATTAGTTTTACAGTGTTAAAGGCAAAGGACAAAAGAGTCCATTTCCATAAACTGCCGCTGAAACGAAGGACGGTACTGCTTCGCTTCCCAATAAACATGCAGACACATCCCATTGCCTCAAGATTTCCATAGTCAAACTTGGATATAAAATATGTTGCCAAAATGACTGTCCAAAATTAAAATGAACCACAAGCATTATAAACACCCATTTGTCATTCCAAAACATACAGAGAAGCTGATGCAAACCACAAAATAAATGTTTCTTACCGTGATTCCATATTTGCCTCTCTGGACACCATATTTTAGATCATTCCAATGGATAATATCCAATTTTATCCTTTTGCATGTGTGCAATAATGTTTTTCTCGAGTCCTGATTATTATTATTTTTTGACTATTTTTTATCAGCACATTGCCTTGCAAATAGCACTAGAACCCTCGATTAAATGCTTCCATGAAATGTTCTTATAAAATGTATCTTTGAAAGAAATTTTGTGAGTACAACTGTTGAAGAAAATGGAATTGAACCCAAAT